ACGACTTTAAGATTCTTAGATCATCCTAACGACCTCATCACCCATCCACCATAGGCTTTTACCATGTCAAAACCCCGACTTTTTTGTGAACAACCTCTAGGTCGTAGTCCAAGCCCATAAATCGGTCATATTTGAGCTAACCACTCAAGTCCATTCACCGAGCTATTCTTAGTGTTATCTCATCTATAAAACATATTATTTATTCACCCACATTGAGAAACTACATCTGCATTGATATAAAAAAATTCTGTACATGGATGAGTAAAAAAATAACTTACCAATAAAATAGCACCAAATAGAAGTACTCCTACAGCTTCAAAAATTGGATCACTACAAGTCACAAACTGGTGATGTGCAACTACTACTACTCCTCCTCTCCAGATTACTCAACTCAATCGGATGTTTGCTTCGTGGTGACAAATTCATCTGTTCCAAAGCATGGCATTGCAATCTCCAAGGGTAGTCCCTCACGCACCCGATCCTAGGCCCTGCCCCACTGCTCCACCTGCACGACGTATGTTGAAACGACTTCAACTCCTTCATCTTTGTCGTCGACATATGCTCTTCCCGAATAATCTCCTCGTTTTTAGACTCTTCATCTGAATCTCTTGAATTCTCATTTTCGATTGCGTGTATAAATTGTTGAAACGCGGGTTCTTTGCTAGCTAGCTCGAGGACCCTCTGTGGAGCGGTTTGTTCGGGATTTGGGTTGTTTTCGTTTTCTTCAGGCTCTGAATGGTCTTTCTCCGCTAGATTGTCGTCTGAGGAGTTGCTTCTCAAGTACAAGAGGCTTTTGTTCCCGCTAGAATCCTCTTCGTCTTCATGGGGTACGAACTGGACAAAATTTGACTTTTTAATACATTCGCCGAACATAAGCATAGCAAAAACATCGTAAGCAGCATTTGAAGAGAACACTGACACAAAATAAGCAATTTTAGTAATACCTTGACATCAGTAAGGCCCACATTGTTCTCCCGCAAAAACGACAAAAAATCCTGAAAATTTTCAAGGGTCGGCCGGTAGTGACCACTGTGAGGCCAGACTGCCTGTTTTCAAATCCGAACAAATTAATTAACTAACAATCCCATGCATAGTTTCAAAGAGTTTTCGAGAGTGGTAACTAAGGATGATGCCACCACCTTTAAGACTCCTTTTTCAGCTACGATCCTCCCAGCGGCTAGCGTAGCTCCTCCCGCCAAAAAACTCGAGTGTTGAAAAGAACCTTTCTTCTTCTTCCCCACATACAATATCTTAGATGTGCTGAGGACAAAAATCCACTTACAAGCCTTGCCTTCTTGTGTGGTGGTGTCCAATAATTCCCCTGTTTGCTTGTAAATTAACTTCCCATCCTCCATCATTATCTCGTACGCCTTTCTCTCAATCTATCACGCGAAATGGCTCATTATCATTATTGTTACAAATAAAAAAATGAAAAGAAAATACACCAGGCATTTAATTAACGATGATGATATTGTATACGAGTGCATGTATACCGGGCCAAGGTACTTGATGCACTGCTGCTGAAGCTTCGAACGAGGGCATTTTTCGACAAGATTAACCTCCTTCCCTTCTCCTATGTCTAGCCAATAAAAAAAGGGCTCTTTGCTTTGAGAATTAAGCCATTTAACATAATACAAGTGTAGATTGTGGCCGTAACGGTGACGAGGATCGATCTGTGTTTGGAACAGAAAATTAGTCGAAATGATTATGGACAAATAGAGTAATGCAGATAGTGATGTATGAGAATTGCTTACAGCTTCAAGCCAATGTTGTATAGCGAGTTTCCGAGCTTTTCCATTCTTCGATAAGCCCTTTCCCACCTATAATCTCAACATTAGTATATAAACATAAAAGAAAGAAAAAAGGGCTTGTACGAAAATGTCGAAAAAATCACCTTAGCAGCCCTTGTTCGTGCTCGTGACCAGCGTGAAACAGCGGTCTCGTGTTTGTGGACATCAAAGAACGAAACGGAGCTGTGCTTGAGCTCGGCAAAATCTAGAAGCTTCCACCAGCTCTGCTCGATCACAACTGCACAATCCGCCAACTTTCTCCTTATCCGGAAGCTCTTGTAGACCTTCTGCAGCTTAACGGCTGCCTCGTGTTTGGGGCTGTTTGCGTCCAAAATAGACATGTATTCATCTGTATTCTTTAATTCATCGACACATTTTTCCATCGGTGGCGAATTTCGAGTCATTTGCATATCGTCCACTGATTTTATGATGATGATGGATGCTAAAGCAGCCTCAAGATATGAACATGATAATTCCCCCATGCAATGAACTGTTATTTACCTGTCATAACAGAAACAAACAACTCAAATTTAAAACAATAATAATAATAATAATAATAATAATAATAATAATAATAATAATAATAATAATAA